AACACTGAAGGGAAAACACTGTTTGGGACAATGTCGGAGTGAGATTTTTTCCATGCACATAGTGTGGCAGGAGTGACTAACACTGGTGTAATGCTTGTGAAGGGAGGGAAAGCATCGTGAGTTGGGACAGAGCAAGGATCCCAACTGCAATCTGAGGTTTGTTCTGGTGTGGTGGACCAGCAGAGAAGCAAATGCTTGGAAAAAAATTAGGAGTAGGAAAAAATTATACTAGAGGTGGGGTGTAACATCTTTTGGGAGGAATAGATAGGATGAAGGAAAACATACAAAAGTAAAATACTACTTTCTTTTCTGTAGTATCGTAGTTTCCCCATCAGTAAACAGAAAGGTGTAACTATGTTAAGACCTCAAAGCCTGTCTGGAATGTACATAAACCACTCCATAAAGGAAAACGGCTTAAGTAGCTTTATTTCCAGACACAAGCAGATTACTTGATTAAGCACAGGTGCTGCTAAGCCTTTATACTAAATTTGCTCAACATAAATGTGTTGTGGCTGACTGTGACACTATATGTTGTATTTCTATGGGCATTGCTTGTGGCTAGCAAAGAGCTGTGGGATTGGAGCAGTCCTGGACTAGACGCTTGGGTTGGGATACTAAAAGATTGTAACTGATAATGGGAGTAAGTGTTGTTAGGCACTGTAACACTGTTAACCACTTGTAATGCTGTTACATGGATAACAGTATGCAAAGTTTGCATGAGCTGTTGAAATGTGTCTGGCAATGTGACAGAGCACAGGTTGCTGCTGGGTTTTGGTTTCTGTAGATGGGGAAGCATTGGTGGGCTCTGCACTGTGTTCTCTGAGGCTGCTGTCAGCTGCTCCCTTCGTCTGCTGCTGTGAGAAAAACAAGGGATAGTAAAGCCAGACCACTAAAGGATATGGCTATTTATATGTTGTAAGCTAGCCAAGGACAGCAGGGGAAAAATAGAGTGCCTGCAGAATATGCACTAGGAAACAGTATATCTGCTGTTGCAAGCTTAGGAAAATAAATATTTGACTAAGGGGCAAGGACTTCAGAGTCCTGAGGAAGGCTGGATTTGGTGATCTACAAGGTAATTATGCCAGAAGAAAGATTTCTAGACTTGCTTTAGAAAAATCAGAGCTAGCCTGCTGGTTCATGCTAGCTGCATGGTCAGCAGTGTTGGAAGAAGGTGAAACATGGCAGAGAGAGCCTGGTTTTCCATAGGGACAGGGTTTATTGCTGGAAAATAGCTTCCTCCCTAACAGTGGAGCTGGGAAAGTCTTTTGTGGTACAGCATGCTGTCATTTTACAGGAATCCTAGCACACCAGCACCATAATTGAGTACAAGGAGAAAATGACAGCTGGTCCAAGAAAGGTGTGAGCCTAATATGTTTGGGGTGGGAATAAATCCTATCCTCTCAGACAATTTAAAAATTTAAATCCATCCTACCACATTCTGACTACATTTCAGTGATTAATAGGCTTACTCATAAAGGGTGTAGAGAAGATATATTTGCAGAAGGGGAGGATGTAGTTACCTGCAGGGTGACTTGGAAAAGAGCTCTTAAAGGAATTGCTCCAGTAGACAGAAAAGCCTGGATTTATTTTAACAGGCTATCCCAGTCAGGACTACACTTTACGCCCTCCACCCTTGAGAAGAATCATAGAATTGCTTGGTTGGAAAAGACCGTTGAGATCAAGAGAAGTGTGTGCAGTTTTTAGGAAATAGCTGTACCTCTCCACTATTTTTTGTTTTTCAGCTGAATTTGTAAGTCTGAGCAAGTTTTTGCAGAAGATGAGCTCAGAGCAATTGCTCTGAGGGAGGAGGGAAAAAAAAACCAACGATGAGGGCTAAAATCCTAGTGATAGATGAGTCAGATGCAGTTTCCATGGGGGATGTGGTATGAAGTTCAAGCTGAGCCCTGCCCTGTTTTACAAGCTCTGAACACGGGTGTTTGCAAGCGGGGCGCCTGCCTAGGGAGCCTCTGGCTGTAGGCAACGATAGGAGCAATGTAGGGGCTCTTTCTAAGTACTACTGCAATTTTTTTTTATCCTGTTTTCTTTCTTTTTCATTGCCAGCCTGCTGCTGGCAGGAGGCTGGTAACAGCAAAGCAGGTGAGGGTGTGAGCACCCTGGGAGGACGTGGGGCAGCCCTGGAAGCTGTGTTGGGAGCCAGGTGCTATGCAGTGGAGTAAGTCAGTCCCTGGTGCTGGTGCTGCCCAGGAGGGATGCCCCATGAGGCCAGGGGATGCAGTCCCTGGGTGTGAGATGCTGCCCCAAATAAGGCACACATGAACAAGCACTAACTTGGCACAGCCCAAGCTGGGTTTTGTTGGGTTTCTATGTTTAGAGGGTGGTTTATGCCTATGGCTACTGTATAATTATGATGATTATGAAATAGCCACCTCTTCAGTTTCTGCCTGGTCACAGCTCTAAGGAAACAACCTAATTTGAACTGCTAGCAGTGAGGACCTTGAACCCTATCAAAAGTCACTTTTAAATGAACCTAGAACATCTAGACAGTTGCCAGACTTTGCTGGCAATGATAAAAATAGGTTAGTGAGATTTTTCCACTGCTGGACACTGGCTTCCACATGTGTGACTCCTACAAAATGAATCCACAAGGCAGCCATTCATGGCATGTTGAATGCTTCTCTTCTCTAGCTGCTTATTTCATGTT